CAAAGTGAAGGAGATGTTGTTTTTAGTTCATAACAATTGAGAAAGAGAGTATGAGTATCGATTTTAAGTGCATTAAAAGCTTCAAACCTTGGTTGTACAAGGTTGTTGGGTTGTACAAGGTTGTTGGGAGTATTCATGGCAATGGCAATGTTGTAAATACTTGAAGATGATGAGGTTGAGAGAGTAAAAAGGTCATTTTTGAAAAAAGTAAAAAAAATAATTTAATGGCATTTTCGTAAATAAAATGAAGATGTGGGGTGGATAGGACAAAAACAAGATGAGTTAAAAGAAGAAGTTAGTTTTGTGTTTGACTATGAGTTTTGAGTCAATTTTGCAAAAACCCCTATAATAATCTTTCCATTTAATTTATATAGCTCGATAAACATAAGGCAATCCTTTCCTACTTCTCCACATCTTCTTTATCGTTCCAAATCTCTACAATTCGCTGTTTCTGTGTGATAATCACAATTCGACATTCACTCACTCATTCAATTCCCTATGTATCCTTCCATCTCTCTTTTTTCTCTTGATTTATAAATTCTTTCGTGGAATCTTTCGCCCAACAAAAAATCTACAACCTCCATAGAAGAACATCGCTATGGCCATGAAAGCTGTTAAATCCTGTGGAATTCTTTCCGTTTGGGCAGCCAAAAATACTCCTCCGTCTATGGATCCCTCTGATCGGGTTTGTCCTCTCCTTTTATATCATTCGGTTTCAGTTTTATGGAGATATATATTTGATAATAATCATCAATCATTACAGAATTTGAGATTTCAACATGCATCGACTGGAGTCGTAGATGTTTTCTTCACAGAAAGTCTCAGTAAAGTGTAAGAGCTATTCGATTGAGCCATTATGATCCAAAACGAAATTCAACTAACCTTTGTTAATTTTATAAATATTTCTCCGATAAATAAAAGAGGAGGTGGAAAGATAAGATTAAGAAGCTTGATGTTGAGCTCAGCGAAAAATAGACCTGGTACTTCTCTAGAAGATGTCGAAGCCAGTGTAATGAAATGTCTGAAGCAGAACAAAAAGTAAGAATGGTTACACATTCCTTTCTTTATTAAATAATATCATGATTCATGAAACAACTAATTTTGCTAGATAAACCACTGAATCATCATCCGATTTACAGCTTCATTTTGATTATTAGCTATGGTGGTTGGTAAGTTTCCTTCCGGTTTCAAAGTTGGCATCTACAAGTAAAGAAGCAGAAGGCCAAAAGTTCCCAGAATCCCAGATTATCAGCTACTTCCCAAATGTTGACAATCTAGCTGATGCCTACAATGAGCAAAGTCAGAGCTGAATTACTCCCATGCCAGATTCAGTTCCTCTGTCCTGAGCGATGAATCAGGTGACATATATATCTTAAAACTCATAATTATCTTATTTCTTGGCAGTACCTGTTTCACCGGACACTCTTAGATTTGTTGTTACCTTGATTTATACAATTCTATCAAAGCATCATAGGAAAAACTCTTAGAACAAAAAAATAAGAGCGAGACAAGTGTGAGAATAATAGTTATAATAAAGTTTTTTTTTTCAATCTGGATAATGAAACCAAGACCTAATGTCACACTTGAAAGTAGAATTGCTGTAAGAGATTCATTCAAGTGAATGTAGGAGCTTTGATTAAGTTTATGCTTCGACCATTCAAGTGGTTGTTAAGCTTTATGAATATTCTTTTGAATCAAGAGAATGGCATTGTTTTCTGTTACCAATGGCTATAATCCGGCTTGCCTTTTTCATAAGTAATTTACACAAATAATTCCTAAGTAGTTCCTACAAACAAGAGTTGTATTGTCATTTTTATAGCAAGAAGGTGAAGTTCCAACCAGGAAAAAGGGAAATAGCTGATGATGTTCCAAAGATAGAGAATCTAAAGATTGCAGAAAAGATGGAGGAGCTGAACAAAACAAAAGAGTGATGTCAGGCTTGAAGTACAAACGAACCTAATCGGGTGATGTTCTAAAGATAGAAGATTTATCTACGCTACATGTATCTATATTTTTATTATTTAGTTTTGTTAGCTAAAACTTTAAATATGATCTCCCTAATTTGGTTTTGTATGCTATTTCTGTTTTATGGGATTTCTTCTCGAATTCAATAAAACCTATTTAAAACTTATATGCTATGTGAGAAAAATTGTTTTGTAACATATAAATGGTGTTCTCACTACAACAAGACTGCAGGCAACTTGGTCTATAGCTGGCTGTTTGAAAACAACTTAAAAGCATGTGAGTTTCGGGTTTTTTCTCGGTTTCCAACGTCCTCAGATCTATTATTCCGATTCAGCTCAAATGACATTTTAATTCAATCATAGGAGTTATTATGACAAAAAGTTATTATTGATGCACACCAACTTTAAGAAAAAAGAGAGTAAGGTCTCTGAGACAAAATTCTTAATTTGGAGCACATTATTGGTTTGTTAAAAAAGTGTATTATTAGTTTCATATTTATTTTTATTAATAATGTGTTTTCATGAACTGGTTTGAAAAATAATATTATTTTAAATATGTATCAATGTTTTATTCAGTTTAAATTAGTTTATACTGAAAAAATCAATGATTCTAAAGTCAAAACAAAGTTTAAATCGATTGTGAATATTATTATTGTTTTTAGCCTAAAATAATATAATTTTTTTTTAATGATAATTAAGTTTGGTTACCTTTTATCCATCTTATATTCTTATTTATCATCCCATATATAATTCCCAATAAAAAAACAAATTGTGAGTCTTATTATTTTAAATTCGCTAGCCGCAAGATATGTATAAATACAACCCTTTTAAAAAATATTCTACTAATTTTATAGTCTAAAATTGACTGCAAATATATACACAATTTAAATTCATATATAAGTGTAAAAATAATTTTAATTAAACTTTATATGAAAATCCGAGCGTAGTCCGGAAAATTTTCTTGTTACAGTAAAATTTTGAAACCCACAAGAATCAAAGCGTCTTTTTTTTGTTCTTCTGTACATTTTGTTAAAGGTGATTCATTTAACGAATCAAACACTCAGGTACTCCTGCCCGAAAAAAGAGTTGAGATACTCATGCCCGAAACTGACCGGATTTGTAATTAAATATATCTTTATTTAAATCAGAAAATTATTAAAAGACCACAAACCCAACAAATACTTGCTTAATTACAACCCAACCAGAGCCATTTCGCCGACTATCCAAACCCGATCCATAAAATTTGGATCTTTTTTCCGAAACCTTGGTAAGAGTTGGTGTAATTGTAAACCTTGGTGTAACTGTGCAGCGTAATAAAACTTAAACTAATAAATTGAAGGTATTCTAAATTGAACTAAGTCGCACTTTTAAATTGCAATTTTTTATCACGTTATTGTTTAGCCACAGTTGTTATTATTGATATATTTATTGAAGTTCAAATAAAAAATAGTAGTTTATAAATATAACTAGAGGAAGTACATTATGTTTATAGCTATAACTTGAGAAATAGCAGAGCATATTGTGAAGAGTAATTTACATAACAACTTAGTAAAACTAGATAAAACCTCTATGTCATAAACACCCAACTAATCTTCAATGGGTCAGGCACGAGCAGTCGAGTGTATGGCATCGCAGAAGTCCCAAGCTGCACAATTCCAGAAACAACGATCACATTTCCACCGTAATCTTGATCCATCTTGGGAGACTACAAACATTGGAGGGTCTAGGTTGGAGCACCAGCAATCATGTGGCACATTAGGATCTATCCTTTCAGCCACAAATAGAAACATGGGAGGTTTTTCGTAATCCCAATTGCCCGAGATAACCCAACTAGTGATGATTTGAAACATCTCCTCAACATGTTGATGAGTAAAAGCATGGTAGTTGTGAACAATTCCTCTACCATCAACGCTAAAGGATAAGTTCAGCATAGCATCTACAAATTTTGCCAACACGCACCCTCTCTCACCAGCACGATGTATTTTTTCCCTTCCTTCATCAAGTAAATTGAGGAAGAAGAACTCGTACATACCTCTCAGGTAGATGGCCTCAGGATTACCCAAACGGTATCACTTAAGCTTGAAAGCTCGAACAGCATTGACCTCGTCTGCCCAGTCATTGAAGTAAATGAGATTGGCCGATCTATAGAAGTGATCATCTCTTCCAACTTCATTGAACCCGGGAAAAGCAATCCTTGCAGAACCGAAGTCCCGGATATTGGTCTTTACTACATTAGAGAGAATCTTATGAAGCATTGAAGGAGGAGAGAAGCCAAGTTCATGTTCTCCATGTCTAACTCTGATAAAAGAAAACGGTTAATGGTGAGAAAAATCACAAATTTGTAGAAGTGATAAACCCTTAAAATTTAATGAACCACTTAACCTAATCAAAAGAAGCATGTCCATTTAAAGTGTGATTTTATGGACTCCTCGAGAAGACACGACTTCTCTCAGACACGACTTCTCTCACACGCCTTATGAATATCTACACTCGCATCTCTTGGAACTGTTACTTTATATAAGATATATGACTATATATAAAGTAAGTGAAACTAAGATATATAACTATATAAGTAAGTGAAAGTAAGTGAAACTAAGATATATAACTATATAAGTAAGTGAAAATAAGTGAGTTAGATTGTCTAAAGTTCTGAAACTAAGAAAAAATTCAAAATTTAGATTGCATAAATTTTTTGAAACTATGTAAAACGTAGGTATAGGATATATTAAATGAAAATGGTAATATTAAGATTTAAGAAAAATCTGTAATTATGGGTGATTTGATGGACTACTCGAAAGAACACGACTTCTCTCATGAAAAAGTCTAGTTTCGAAGTCTCTTATAATCATTTCACTTGCATTTAAACGCCACAACACTACACAGTCATTAAGTAGTAGATCATCATAACCATTGCATTTAAACTCCACAACAGTAAGATCAATCGTCTCCTTCAGTCGAAAATAAGCAAAGAAGGGATTCATCATCTCATCTCCTCTCTCATATCTTCTCTCATCTATCTACAAACAAGATGCCAGTCTACAATAAGCTTTCCGAGGTTTCTTATAACCCCAAGGTCAGGGCTTGGCGTTTCAGAGTCAAACTACACATGATCTACCCTTTATGTTCCTATGTTACCAACATGGGACCCTTCTATACCTATGTCCTAGCAGATGAAGACGTAAGTATTATATCATTATCTCTCAAGTTTGTAGTAACATTTAGCCGTGACAAACAAAAACTTGATCTTATAATTTATTTATGTAGGGGTCCAAGATGGAGATGACTGTCTATGGGGATTATGAAAGGTTTAGAAGCCTCGAGAACCAAGAGGGAAAATGGGTGGAAATATTTGTGGTAGAAGTTGAACGTTGCTATCTAGGTTTCCAGGCAACTAACGCTCGGTTCAAACTAACTGCTACGCCCATCACACAAGTCCGCATCATCGATCCTCTTAACGATCGGCTTTTCATGGACTTCAAGAACATTCATGCAATCCCTCACATGTCCCACATGGAACAAAACTATCCCATAGGTAATCACAAAAATCGCATGTAGAAGTAAGTGAACCTAAGTGAAACGAACTAATTTAGATGTAGGTAATCACAACAGTTGCATGTCTTGGTTTCAGAACTTTGTATAACTTTGTATAACTCTGTACACTTATATGGTAGATACAATGGGAGTGGTCTTCAACACAGAAGCCTATTTCGATGACCTTCGAGGACCAAGAATGGTGGTTTACGTAAGGGACAACATGTAAGTAGAAAGTAACATATGATCCAAGCAAAATTTATCTATATTGTAATTGACACACCTTTTCTTTATTCTGAATAGTGACAAACAGATAAAACGTGTGGCAACTGCCAAACATGCCTATGACTTCCGGGATGCTCTTGAAAACATGAAAGGTGGACAAGTGATTGGGGCTCTTAAGATGTGGAGGGTCTGGAAGTTTTGGAGTAAGTGTAGTTTCTTGTGGGAACCGAAATCCACCTACTGTCAAATAATCGTAAATAAGGAAACTTCGGGAAAACCCTAAGTTTCCAGAGGAACCGGCTATCTGCAGAACCGCACAACGAATATTAAGAAAACGATGAACTTTAAAATTAAAACGAGAATGAATGAGATTGAAAGCAAGAAGGTTCTTATTCCGAATCTGCGTAAGAAGTGGTAGAACGAGAAAAGCCTAAGCTGCGTGAGCCGTCGGCAAATTCCCTAGAAATCTAAGAACGCAAACCCTAATTGAGACGCAGCTCGCTAACAGAAAACATAAATATTCCTAATTGCTAATTTCTGGTGGTGAGAGCTCTGAAAATCGTGTCCCTTGCTTCTGCCCTAGACCTCTTATTTATATACTCCTCGCCTAGCCATTCGGTCTTTCCATTTCGCCCAGATTTGACTATATCGGGAATTTTCCATTTCTCTCGATCCTTCCTTTTCTTCCGCGGAAATCTTCTATTTTTCTTCAAACCTTCCTTTTATCTTCAAACTTGACATTTATTTTCCTCCTGCGAGTAAACCGTCAAAACGTTATCGTATCTTCGGGTTAGATGCCGTTAAGATCGTGAGATGGGTTTTTATCGCGTTTTAGGACCTTCCGGCAGTTCTGCGATAAATCCGTTTTCCGACTTTGTACGGGATCGTTTCCTGATCTGATGCCGTTAAATTCCTCGAGCTAATCGTAAGGTTTTACGATTTACTCGACGTTTTTATTAAAAACTCGTTTTTTACGATTTACTCGACGTTTTTATCAAAAACGCGTTTTTTATGATTTTAACAAGAAATCTCGAATAAATTGTATAGTTTAAGCAATGTTCGGTGTTTTGTTTAACCGTTGCCGTTTTATATGATTTCCTCGAGTTCTTTGTCGAGAAAGCGAAGTTTTACGGTTTTTATCTTAAAACTCGAACGACAGGTCGGATCGAGATGGAACGGGAGAAGTTTCAGCCGTGGTTCAGAATGTGACCGTGTCGAAAGACGTACGTTTCGAATCGGGAATGCGGGAGATCGAGGCTCGGGATGTCCAGGAAGTCTCTAGTTCGTCCAACGGCGAACTAAGCCGGCTGGCTTAGTTCGCCCGTGGGCGAACTAGTCGGGACGGGACTAGTTCGCCCACCGGCGAACTAAGCCGAGCTAGCTTAGTTCGCCCATGGGCGAACTAGTCGGAATGGGACTAGTTCGCCCGTGGGCGAACTAGTCGGGACGGGACTAGTTCGCCCACCGGCGAACTAAGCCAGCTTGGCTTAGTTCGCCGGTGGGCGAACTAGTTGCGACTAGTTTGCGTTTTACTGCTGTTTTGGTTTTTTGCGGTTTCGTAAAACGATTCTCGAGTTTTATAAGACGATCTTCGAGTTTTATAAAACGGCTTCTCGAGTTTTATAAAATGATCTTCGAGCTTTATAAAACGGCGTTCTCGAGTTTTATAAAACGATCTTCGAGTTTCATTAAACGATCTGCGAGTTTCATAAAACGTCTTCTTGTCTTATAAAACGATCTTTGGGTTTTATAAAACTATTCCTTTTATGTTTTTGTGGGGAGTTTTGGCTATTGATTCCGTCGTACCGATTTTGACCCCAACAGTTAGCCCCCCAGCTCGTAAGAATCGTGAGGTTCTTGCGAGTGGATTGAGCTTGTTTGGTGAGTTTGGTAGAATTAGGCGGAACTTTAATGGCCAAAAGTCCAAGGGTGAATAGTAAAATTCTTCCCTATAAGTATATGGGGTGAGTTTTTCAGGTTTTTCACTCACTCCTCCATAACTTGCTTAAGCTTTAGGAAGGCTTCTCTCTACCTTTTCCTTTGGATCCTTTTTCTTTCGACTATCCAATATGTCTTTTGGATGGAAAGTTTCAGATTATGCTCATGCATCAATCTTTGATCCGAGCGACCTTGATGTTTCTAGCGGCTGTCCTCTTCCCGAGCCGGTCTTTCAACGTTTCTTTACGACCAAGGAAGAGTTTGCAGACTACTATTTAGCCGTGAGCGCCGCGGAGGTACCGCCTTCGAATTTATAGGTTACGAAGAAAGATAAACCTCGGAAGAAAACAGTTGGCATGAGCACGAGCACTGTAGGTTCTCTCAGATATTTGAGAAATATCTATGCGATCCCTGAGTCGGTTCAGTTTCGCATCCATGTCCAGGGTCAGGGTGTCGAGGATCCGCCTTGGGGTTATTTTACGTGCTACGAAGCCTTTCTGTTGACCTGCCAGCTATGGTTCCCTATTCCTCGAACCATTTTCGAATTCTTGGATAGGTATGCAGTACCATTCGGCCAACTACGCCCTAGTGGCTTGCAGCACCTTATCGGGATTCTGGGGTTGGGTTACGAATGCGGAATGTCCCTTGATGCGGATTATCTTTCGTCTATGTTGACATTCAAGGGAAGAAAGGACGGTTTTTACTTAGCCCCCCGGCGGGACATGACGCGGGCTTGCCTCGAATGATCACGATTGGATTTACCGATTCTTTTATGTCAAAATCGACAGCGCATCGGTGGAGGAGAGTTGTATTCCTTTGGTTAGGGCTGCGTGGGCGACAAACGGTATTCCATTGACATGATACCCATATCCATATAGATATAGGTTTTAACTTTTTCGTTTGTTTCGCCTGCCCTCCCGATGCCGATGCTTGAGGATTTTCCGGAGGTTATGAATCTTCTACGTGGCGGCCCACTTCATTGGGGGTATTTTTCTCCGAAAAGGATCCGTCGTGCCGTCGCCTATTATTCGTCCGGTTTTTCTCGTGACGGTCATGCTGATTTTAAGGCGGGCGATGATGCGGAGGAGAGGGAAAGGTCTAGATCTCCGCAGGATAGAGAAGTTTCGATCGATCGCGGTCGGGCATCTGACGAAGATATCAATATCGAAGATCTTATTGACTTTTCTCCCTCCGAATTTGATCCGGCCGAGACGTCATCTCGAGGACCAGCTGACACACCGTTTTCGAAAGCGTCGAGGCTTTTCAACAAGGTTTTCCTATTCTTTATTATTATGTATATATGTTTTTATGAAGGATGTTTGTTCCGTTTTGCAAG